ATTCCAACAGAAGCCCGACACGAATACGAGCGAGAACTCTCCAAGTGGGTGGCAAATCAATGGCTCGTCCCTTATGATGAGAGCGTGCACGGGAGGGTCAAAGGCACGATCCCGCTCATGGCGGTCATCCAACCGAAGAAGGACAAAGTGCGTCCCGTCATGGATTTCAGAGAGTTAAATACGCACCTGGACCCGCATACAGCTGACGCGGATGTTTGCAGTGAAAAAATCCGTGAGTGGCGTCGGTGTGGACGAAACGTGTCTCTCATAGATCTGCGAGACGCTTACCTGCAGATCCACGTGCACGCATCGCTGTGGCCGTATCAGACTGTAGTGTTCCAGGGCAGACGGTGGTGTCTGAGCAGACTTGGCTTTGGGCTCAGTCTCGCACCGATGGTGATGAGAAAGGTGCTGGAAATGGCCCTGAAACGTGACCCGAGGGTGCACACCGCTACATCACCTTACGTGGACGACATACTCGTAAATGAAAACATCGCTACTGCATTAGAGGTGAAGGGTCATCTGGAGGCGCTCGCTCTGACCTGCAAATCCCCGGAGAAGGTGTCAGAAGGTGCTCGTGTCCTGGGCATTCGAGTCTGGGGGGAGCGGCAAGGACTGTTCTGGAAGCGGGACAACCAGGATCTACAGCCGCCGCCAAAGCTGACGAGGAGAGAGGTCTTCTCGCTGTGCGGACGTCTGACAAGTCAGGTCCCGGTGTGTGGCTGGCTGCGTGTCTCCGCATCCTACCTGAAAAGACGCGCCACTGCAGCGACAGACGGCTGGGATGACGAGATCACCGACCCAGAACTCCAGAAAATGGTCATGGAAACGCTGCAGCGCGTGAAAACGGCCGATCCCGCACGAGGTCGCTGGGATGTCACCGGCGATGAGGGAGTCGTGTGGGTGGATGCCAGCTCCCTCGCCATAGGAGCCGTGCTGGAGATGGAAGGCAGCATCGTTGAGGACGCCTGCTGGCTTCGGAAAAATCCCGAGACACACGTGAACCTTGCAGAACTGGACTCTGTTGTGCGTGGCATCAATCTGTCCCTGGCATGGAACCTGAAGAAAGTGACTGTCGTGACGGACTCGAAAACGGTCTATCACTGGCTAACAGATGCGCTCTCCGGCAGAGCTCGGATAAAGACGAAGGCGGCGAGTGAAATGCTGATTAGAAGGCGCCTGGAGACCGTGAAGAGTCTGAGAGGGAGTGTATTAGAATCTTGTGGCCGCAGTCGTGCCACTGCGGCGCCGCCGCCGCCCCGTCCAGGATCGGGATGAGTTATATGGCATTGTGCGGGGCGGGGCCGGGAGGAAACGGCCGGCGGCACGCGCAGCGCAATTGTAAATTTAAGATATGTCATTTAAGGCACGTAGGCCGCCAAGCTGGCGCCTTCCGTCACCTCGTCGCTGCTGTGCAAGTTCGCACTCGTTTTGGGCGTGTTCTAGACGTTTCGTAGCCTGTTGAATAAAAGGTGGGTCACGTACGACCCCCGGCGAGTCTGGGCCGGCGCGCGACGGAGGCAGCTGGCAATACAACGGCAATGTGGACATAAGGAGTTTACTACAATGTTTTACTAGGAATCGAGCTCAATTGTACTTTTAGCCAGAAAATAAATGCTTGGGTAATTCTGGGACACTCTGTATTAATTGGAGGAATAGGACTTAGGAGGAAATGCGATTGCAAATCGACCCACATCCCTGTGTTAGCCAATGACGCCTTTGGGGCCAAGGTTGGGGGTATTCAGTTTAGCCTTTTTGTTTTTCTGTGATATCTCCGGCACCGTGAAAGATATTGGCTCCTTCAGATGAGTGCCTACTCCAGTCACTACTTATATCCAGTAGCCAGTAGCCACTCAGATTATTTGGGATCAATCAGGTGATAAGCGTACTTTCAGACGACCAGGGGCCCCCAGTCGACCAGGGGTTCCCAGGCGACCAGGTCCTCCAGATGACTAGGGGCCCCACTGCCCCAGGCGACCAGGGCCCTCCAGGCGACCAAGGGCCAATGCGATCAGGTCCCCAAAGCGATCGGTGGCCCCCAGGCGACCAGGGGGCCCCCATGCGACCAGGGGGCCCCATGCGACCAGACCCCCGGCTACCAGGGGCCCCAGGCGACCAGGGGCCCTCTAGGTGACCAGCGGCCGTCAGGCGATCAGGGGCCCCCAGGCGACCAGGGGATCCCAGGCTACCAGGGGCCCAAGGCGACCAGGGTCCCCCAGGCGACTAGGGGCGACCGGGGGCCCCAGGCAACCAGGGCCCCCATGCGACCAGGCCCCCCGGCTACCAGGGGCCCCCTGGGCGACTAGGTACCCCCAGGCGATCAGGGGCCTCAATATCATGCGACCAGAGGCCCCCCATGCGACTAGGGCCCCCTAGGCGACTAGGGGCCACAGACTATCAGGGGCTCGTACGACCAGGCCCCCGGCTATCAGGGCCCCCTAGGCAACTAGGGGCCCCCAGTCGATCAGGGGCCTCATGCGACCAGAGGCCTCCCATGCCACCAGGGCCCCCTAGGCGACTAGGGGCCACAGGCTATCAGGGGCCCCCATGAGACCAGGCCCCCGGCTACCAGAGGCCCCCTAGGCGAACAGGGGCCCAGGAAACTGGGGGCCCTTGGATGACTGCAGGGGCCTCTCGGGTACCCAGGGCACATAAATGAAACTTTAATATCAATTTTTCTTCCGAGTAAAAGACGTTTTATCCAGTGTTTAAAAAAATATCCTGGGGCCTGAGGGGCCCCCTGAGCGCCTTCGGCGCTCAGGGGGGGGGGCCTTGGCCCCCGTGGCCCCCCCCCCCCCCTTGGGTACGTCACTGATAATAAGTGTACATTCCATATTTCACCCATCCTTGCCAATATTTACCAATCGCCTGCATTTCCAGCTGTCTCTGGAAAGTGCTCAGATGTTTACGACATTGATTGTGCCGTATTGCAGCCGGTCGGCCCGGTGGGCCTCGGAGCCGGTCCGACAGTGCAGTAGGACGTGGGCAGTGCCGGCAGCGCACTCAGCACCAACTGCTGCGGAACAAAACAGCATCGATTGGCGGCCGCGCCGTGCGGCGACAAACATTGCGCGCCCGTGCGGCCGTATTGGCCGCAGGCTGTGGCACGGCGCACTCGGGCCAGTAATTTGATAGATCGGCGGCGCCCCATGTGTCCGCAGTGCCGAGCACACAGCGCCAGAAGTTTGAGTGCCAAACACGAATTAGCGGATGGGCAGATGTTTGTTTCCAGTGTTTGCATATCTTATATTTTGTGGGTATTATAGTTGGGTACATTTTTAATCCGGACAATAAAGCAAATTGGCGGCAGGCGAAATGGCTATGGCTCTGAGATACAGATTTAATTCAACGTGCCTAATGTGCTTTGGATATCGGTTACGCCTGCACCACGACGTGATTTCTGTCACTGCAGAGAGGTCTGGATAGTATAATAAACATTCCTTTTAGTAAATACTCCAAAGGGTGAGCTTATTTGCTACTCGAACTCACAACGCTGCATGCCATAGAGGCAATGTAGGTGTCTGTCTGTATAGGTCACAGAAACGGTGACATCTCAACAGGCCGGCGCAGTCGGGCCCGTTCGCCTGTAGTGCGGCCTCGCCACCCAGTGCCAAAGTGTGGCCGATAACGATATCGGGCGCACAAGTGGAGCCGTCCTCGGCGCGGGCGTCACACCGTTCCACGGCGCCCGTCTGGCGTTAGAAACAGAAACATCTGACGAGGCGGAATGGTGAATGGGGCTGGCCGGGATCAACTGACTGGGCTGAATGTCAAGGTGGCTGGCGGGGCTGAACCGTCAGGGGAGCTGGTGGAGCTGTGATGCACCGTCAGTACAGCTGACGAAACTGAGCTACAGGGACGAAACTGAATGCTCAGATAAACTGACGTAATTGAAATGTAAGGCAGCTGAACTTGACGAGGGATGAATTGTCGGGGGCTGAACTGAAAGAGCAGCGGAACTGTCAAGACGGCAGTGCTCTGAACTCGCGGCTCTGAACTGCCGCTGAACTGTCAGGAGGCCGAACTGCCCGGGCTGAGCTCTCGGGAGGCTGCACTGCACTCAAGGACGGCTGTCGAAGCAGCAAACTCTGTCAGCCGGGGCCGGGGGCCCGGGGCTGAGCTGTCGGGCGGCTGAGCTGTCGGGCGGGGCTGAGCTGTCGGGCGGGGCTGAGCTGTCGGCCGGGGCTGAGCTGTCGGGCGGGGCTGAGCTGTCGGGCGGGGCCGGGGCTGAGCTGTCGGGCGGGGCCGGGGCTGAGCTGTCGGCCGGGGCTGAGCTGTCGGGCGGGGCCGGGGCTGAGCTGTCGGCCGGGGCTGAGCTGTCGGGCGGGGCCGGGGCTGAGCTGTCGGCCGGGGCTGAGCTGTCGGGCGGGGCCGGGGCTGAGCTGTCGGCCGGGGCTGAGCTGTCGGCCGGGGCCGGGGCTGAGCTGTCGGGCGGCTGAGCTGTCGGGCGGGGCCGGGGCTGAGCTGTCGGCCGGGGCTGAGCTGTCGGCCGGGGCCGGGGCTGAGCTGTCGGGCGGGGCTGAGCTGTCGGGCGGGACTGAGCTGTCGGCCGGGGCTGAGCTGTCGGGCGGGGCCGGGGCTGAGCTGTCGGGCGGCTGAGGGGAAGGCTATTACCGGAAGTTAGCTGTTGGTCGGGTTAAAGTTGGCTATCGGCTCGGCTGTTTGGCTCTAACTGCCAAACACCGGCTTTCACAGGGACCAATAACACACCGGGCGCTTGACTGCTGTCTAAAATACGGCCCGGCGGCCCTTTGACAGCGGCCAGATTCCAGCAATGTTGACGCCAGCGTAAAATAAGCACTACTATAATTCAAAGATAATTGCAGAAACCGGAATTCTGGCGTTCTGTCATTATAAGTAGAGCAAGGCAACTCAAAGCAATGAATGGTTCTCCCGAAAGACCAGATCCACAATTGACAATTTCAGTGCGGTAAAATTCAACCATGAAAGTCCAATCTTTTCAAAAGATGGATTGAAAGAGCGAATGACATTCAACTAACCTCGTCAGGAGAACAGACCACCTGTGCACGGGAGCCTGGTGCTGTGTTCGATTGTCGAACCGGCGAGGACCGACGTGGTTGGACCGGGCGCCGCTGGCGGAGCGCCGACCCCGCCGCTGGCGGAGCGCCGACCCCAACTGCCACCGGCGGCGCGGCCTATCGTCGACACCGGGGCTCGCGGCGTCACGCCGCCCCCGCCACCGCCCCCGCCCCTCCTGGTGCTGACTGCTGACACGTATACCGGCTATGGCAGTGATGCAAACTCAATAAAAAGGCACCACTGCACCAGTTTACTGCGCTGTGTATCAGGTGTGCTGTACATACATATGATGGATGGAGATGGAGTGCTACAGATAGTATAAGATTGGGGAAAATAAAAAGCTGTCCGGCTGATATACCGGTCCATGCGTTATAGGTAATGAATATAATGACACATTTTTAAGGATTCAACTTGTAAAAGCAGCCATAGGCGGCGGAACGGGGAGGGCACCGGGGCACCGTGCCCCCCTTTGATTTTACCATTTTAGCATTAGCCCTATGGGCGTTGCATGGAAAGAATGGGACCAAAAGTCGGCAGTGCCCCCCCCCCCCTTAATTGAAGGCGTTCCGACTTCCACCGCTACTGAAAGCAACGATCAAGAACTTGTCATGTACGGGTACCCGCAGTTGCTACTGTACACGAACCCCAACTCTAGCCGTCTGTCCTGCCCATCAACAACCGACAACATTGATATCGACTGCCGGTCCCTGTACTAGAGCAGCTGAGGTTTTCTGTGCGTGCCCTCTGACAGCTTATCGTTGTTCCCTGTGAGGGTGCTGGGACAATTTACTCAGGGTCCCTGTACAGTAGCAACTGCGGGTCCCCGTACCTATGACGTAGGTGCATGTGTGATAAAAAATATAGGCTTTTAGGCGAGGATAAGGACTGCCAAATGCATTAAAGGTAGTTGTAGTTGCATTAAAGGTAGGTTGTAGTTACATAACCGTTTAAATTTTAAGATAATAGCAATACAAGGCCTTTATTGTATGTTTTCATTCCTCTGGTTAGTTCTATTTCAAAAATTACACTGATACCGGTGTTGAAAATAAACCTTAGCATCAAAGTGAACTTATACCTATACCTACAGGCCCACCAATCTTTATATGGAGCATCACGAAGGATGCCGACGATTGTCATATTTGTAAACGTCACTTTTTACTTATTTAACCGAATGCATTGTACCCATGACTTATTACTAGTGCATACATAGGTACTATGCTCTTTGTTATGACCTGCAAATTTTGCCACTGGATTCATGTCGCCCGCACAGCATATACCAGTGTTAATTACATTCCGCAGCGCCGGGGCTATTTCCTACTACAAAAGAACACCCTCATGAGGCCGAGCACCCGTGCTAATTTGGCCATAGAGCCGCCCTGGACATTGTATTGATTTCTGCAAACGTGTTCAACAGAACGAACCTATAATTGCCGTTGGACGTACAAATACAGACCACCGCGGTCATTATAGAGGCGCCTTTGGCGCGGCGCATCGGTAACATTGCCGGAACAGACAAATGACACCGCTATATTATGGGGACTCTGTACAAGTGCGCGGCGATGGTGCGTGTTTGGACGTACCGTAGCCCGACGGTGTGTATTTTGCGGGTTTTGTGGTGACAGTACACCTGTGGCGCGACCAAAACACGTCGACCGGCGCAGGGGGAGACGGAGGACGACCTGTCATAACTGCAGCTGGCCGCCATTTATATAGCGGATGTAACACAGCAAAATACCTATAAAATAACACTGCAACACACACTGTTACACACAACGAAAGGATGAAAAAATAAAGTATAAAAATCAGAAGGAGAGAGAGAGGGGGAGAGAGGGGAGAGAGAGAGAGAGAGAGAGAGAGAGAGGAGAGAGAGAAGACAAAAACAGACATATATCTGCCGAAAGCGCAGCGCAGGAAGAAGAGGGTTCGTCGCGAATTATAAATCATAGAGGGGCTATTTGAACTGGGTCATGTTTCTCACCCCTCCTCCCTCCTCCCCCTCGGCCCTATAGTAATAACCTGCGACGGGTGGGTCATATGCGCCAGCCGCGCCTCCCTTATATCAGCCGAGGTGGAATACTGCAATACAGCAAAGGAGCGACATCAGTTTCCCTTACTAATATACGCCGCAAACTCAAGACGGTATGACGCTGATGACTGTCGGTAAGTTAGGAGTACACCGCCCGTACTATAACGAAGATAAACCTGGCTAGCGCGTCTTGGGCTTTGGATGTTTTCCGCTTTATTTTCATTTAGCAACCGGCAGGTGGTATGGTTCACCTTCAATCCATTTAGTTGACAGTCAAAGAAGTTATATCATACGCTCTGTTCTTTTTAATCGTAAGACGTCTCACGTCTTCTTTTTTTTTTCTACAGGGTGTCTCAAAAGTTCGTTCACACATTTCCCATGCCAATAAAGCATATAAGAACCGGCCAAAAGTATAAGGTTTTGGTGTCTGTGTGTACACTAGACAAATATGCATGCTTTGACAACTGATTAAGAAGGTTGGAAACCAACCCCTTTGCTGTATCTCCAAAAATATTTGGCCATACCGATTTTTGTTGCTCCGTCAGCTGCTGGAGGCTGATAAAAGGTTACCAGCTTTCAAGCTCTTGCAGGGGAATCCCCTGCAGTTTCTGCGTCGGATTTAGTTTTGACTAGCTCCCCGGCAACATCTGCTTTTCCCTGAAAGCCGACAGCTTGCATCGACACCATTCTTGAGTATTTTGTAGGCATTCTCTGGCGCTAACTCCTTCATGAATGACTGGCGCCGACATCCCAAGCGCCATTTTCCTTTTCAAAACGACCCCAGTCCTGAACAAACGGGAAGTGCCAGGAGTAAATTTTTCGCACCATATGGTAACAGAATGTGTCGGACGTCTGTTTCTCAGACACATTGTGCAAATTTTGCAAATTCCAAGCGCTCGTCATTCCCCATGCCAAGACCTTCGCTCGGTTGCGGACTGTTTTCCTCGGGAGATGTTCTGCTTTGTAAACGGCCCAAACCTGTCCATCGTGTGGTTTTATCGGGATTTTGTGTTTAAAAGAAAATTATTCGCTGCAGATCTGCCTCTTCAAACTTCGTTAGATAAAATTTTACAATAACTGACACTTTTGGAGGGTCAGGCGTCCTTGGCATTGACGATTTTTGTGTTATTGTCCCCAAAAATTAGCGTTATAGATCACTGAGAAAAAAATTGACTCCATATGGGTCAAAACTCTTGAAAATGCTCCCCTGAAAACTCCTGAAAACCATCGATAACACCCTTTCCAGCAGAGTTATTGAGTGTGTTCTAGGGTAACTTTGAGCCTTCCTCATTTTGCGAAAGAGTTTTCAAGAGTTCTCAATGGATGGCGAAATGACTCCATGTGTGACACCCCATAACTCTGTGACGCAACTCTCCATTACTCCCGAAAAACATTTCCCGAACGTTCCGACAGGAGTAAAAGGGGAGTTACGAAGGGGTTTTAGCATACGTCGCGAGGCTGCCGTGGCCGCCATCTTTTGCGCGTAGTATACAGCACGTTGTGCCGGGCGGCGGGCGAGGTGTTAGTGAAGAGCGTGTTGACTTAGACGGACCTGACCTATACAGTGACGGATAATTGGAACTTACTTTGGATTTAAAGGTAAGCTTAGCTGTATTTCTCATCATGCTTTTATAGTGCAAAGTGTTATAATGCTGTGATGAGAACATATGGTAGGTAACCCCATGTTCTTGATGGGCTGGAATGGTCTGTGTAAGGGTAATCGATTTGTTTCGCTCCTGAGTGAGATAAAGATCGGAAACAGCATGCTCTGAGTATCTACATATTGGCAAATATCATACATTTTTTCCCTCGCATAAATTGGAAAGTTAGGGTTATACAAGCTTTACACGTCATGGATCCTATTGTTATTGCCCAATTGTTTTAATACCCATGTCAATGACAAATATCAAATTTGAAGGGCTTTCAAAGCAGAGTCAGAAAATTAAACTATCTTGGCATAAAAGCCTTGATTTTCCTAGCCCCCATATATAAAAAATCAGTTACCTACCACTGCCACTGCCCAATGGGGAAAACCACCGACAAACCAGCATGTTTTATAAATTTTGTCTAAATTGTTGTATTTTTTTTTTTAGAAAGTATCCATAAATGAAGTTCGTTCTTTAATGTTAACATGGGTACGTATGCAGCGTGTAACGCGTCCTTAGCTTATTTTTAGCGACCTGCTCAACTTTTTGAGCGCTCAAGTGCGTTTTATAGCATTTCCCTAATGTGTCTGCAACTAAGATGGAGGCTGTTAACTTGCCCTTTAGACTTTCACTGAAACTTAACTTTAACAATATTGTAGTGCATAAAAAGTATGCTAACTTTGCAATCTCTTGCTTTCATTATTTTGACATCATGTGCGGAAATGCAGTATCAGTGCCAACATGTCAGGTCGCGTGTGTCTCGTCTCGTCCATCTTGTCTCATCTGCCTACCTCTCAGTCTCTTCCCTCATTTCTTCCTTCCATCTTTCCTCGCTTCCTTCCTAACTCCCTCCTTCCCCTCCCCTCTCTCTCCCTTTCTTTCTCCCTCTCTCCCTCCCTCCCTTCCTTCCTTCCTTCCTTCCTTCCTTCCTTCCTTCCTTCCTTCCTTCCTTCCTTCCTTCCTTCCTTCCTTCCTTCCTTCCTTCCTTCCTTCCTTCCTTCCTTCCTTCCTTCCTTCCTTCCTTCCTTCCTTCCTTCCTTCCCTCCCTCCTTCATTATTTCCCTCCTTCTCTTTTTTCTTTCTCCTCTATTTCCTCCCACGCAATGTTAAGTGTACCTACCTATAATTTCATGGTGATCAACATTTTGCAGGGGATGAGCTGGAGAGCCTGCATCGCATCCCGCAAGACACGTCGGAAGCCAACGGAGGCCCGCAAAATAACCATCCCACCATCGTGAAAGGAGAGCCGGACGAAGAAGACGCAGTATTCGTCGAGGCCCAGGAGGTGGTAGCGGCACCACCAGACCAAGCATTCCTGCTGTGGTAGGCCGCCTTTTGGATTTTTAACGTCAAAACTCGCGACCGTGTAGCATAGGTATGGAGTGAGATCCCCGGAGAGCGTGCCGCGGCTGGATGTCGAAAGCGTTTGTCAA